GCTCCCTGCTACACCCCTCCTGCACCACAACCCTGAGCCCCTTCCTGCAGTCCGCACCCCTACCCTGAGCCCCCTCCTGCACCCCAACCCCCTGCCCTGACGCCTCCTCCCACACCCTGCACCCCCTTCTGCCCCAATCCCTTGCCCTGAGCCCCTTCCTGCACACCGCACCCCCTCCCACACCCCAACACCCTGCCCCGGCCCTGCATACAATTTCCCCACCCAGATGCGACCCTCGGCCCAAAAAGTTTGCCCAGCCCAGCTGTAGGTGGTGAGCTCTTCTGGGCAGGTGGGAGCCGTAAATCGCCTTGGTCTGGAGATACTGACTCTGCCTTCTGTCCCCCACCAGGAATGTCTTTTTATTTAGAAGACAGGAAATAAGAAAACCAAGAATGTCCCACAATCAGCAAACTTCATTGTGGCCGAGGGCTTTCACTCACTCTAGTGTGCTGCCGTCAAACCCGAAGAGACGCTTCCCCGCCAGGACAAGCCCGTGAAGTTACTGTTTGTGAGGGAGAGGGCAACTCAACGTACTAAAGATGGCTGCAGCCGGACCTACAGCATTGTAGGGGCAACGCTGCTTTCTTGATGGACTCGCTTTAAAAAAAAAAAGAAATAAAAAAACAAACAAAAAAAGAGAGAAAAGAAACAAGAATGGAAAAAAAAATTTGCCTGGTAGCAAAACAAAAAAAAACAAAAAAACAAAACAAAGTAGAAAACTTTCTGTGAAATGAAAAATAAAATAAAATTTACTTAAGGAAAACGTGGGGATTAAAAATACAATACCTAGCAACACCAATTGTCTGCACTGGGAGGGGGGAAGGCACCCAGGTTTTTAGCCCACTTCCAGAACTCCGAGCTTCCTCCACTCCCCCCCGCCCCCCCTCTAAAAGAACAATCAGGAGGAGTTGGGTTCCCCCGTGCGGCACCGTGGGGATCCTGCTGTTCGCCCCTGTGGAGCGCTAACCCACCCCACCCCGCTCTCCTTAAGCCAGCCCCCCTAGCTAAATCTGATCCCATCCATCTGTCAGCCTCCTGGAGGAGAATCAGCCTGGGATAGACTGTTATATATTATATATATTTTTTTCTTTTTTAGTTTGTTTTTTTTTTAATTTGGTTTTATTTGGGTTTTTTACCATGAGGGGGAGAGAGGAGAGGGCTCTAGAGGTCACAGGGACGGGGCTGACTATTTTACTCAACAGATTTGGAAACTGCTCACTGGGGAATCTTACATTGACAAGACCTGAGACCCTGCGCAGGCGTTAGAATTGAGCGCATGCTGTTCCGTCTGGTGTTGTAGCCATCTCGAGAACAATACAAACAAAAAACACAAAAAAAATAAATTAAAAAAATTAAAATGTGGGTTTTGTGCCTCGTGTCTCTGGCTGTTGAACCTGTCTGCACGCCTCCTGGCTCAGAAAGCCGGGGAACAGTAGGAGCTGTCAGTGTTCTTCAAGAGACAGCAAGACAGCGTTACCCTTAAGGGTACCAGTGAAGGCTAGTTGTAGTAACCTGTTGGAAGGGACTATGCGAAGCGACGGGATATTAACTTTCTGTGCTTTAGTCACTAGAGTTAATCCCAGCTTAACCCTCTTCTCCGACTGGCTTCTCCTACTGGAGGAAGAGAATTCACTTCTCCCATGCACCCTAATTGGCCCAGTAGCATTCGCTAGCCTGCCGCTATTGCTGTGATCGCTTTATAATCCTAGGTAGTACCTTAGACATTACACCAGGGCATCCCTACTTCACACTAACGCAGGCCAGGTCTGGTGGGAATTGCTGGATTTTATGACTTAATAAGTAAACGATCAAAGAGGATCAGAGTCAAGGCGCTTTTTGGTTTTTTTTTTTTATTGGCCAGCAATGATCTGCTGAGCAGGGCGATGGGGCGTGACCTATATTTCATTGCCTTCTGTTGTGTAAAAGCAGCGCGCCTTCAACGCCCCCTCGCTGTAACATTCGGCTAATCAAAGCGAGCTGTGGTGTGAGGCTCGCAAGCACCATGTGAGCTTACCGTGCTGTGTGGCGGTGAGCAAGGAGCCAAAGATCTAGTTAACAGATACCGCAGCCTGTAATTGCTTAAAGGATCCTGATAAAGGTTTATAGGCTAGGCCATCGTGGGGGAATAAGCCACAATTAAATACAATCCAAACAACAAATCTAGAGCTCTTCTCCTTGACGCTTGCCTGCAGGCCCATATGGCTGGAACTGCCCCACCCCAGCCCAGGGTTAAAAGACAGCGAAATTGCCTGGCTACAGGCTTTTATCTTTAGGAATCTTACAGTCTGTGCTCGTGAGCGGTTCCCTCAGCTGGCCCGCACAGGGCCGACATTGGGTATCATCCACCCAATGTTTGGCAGCACCAACTGGTGCTCATTTGCCACTGACTTTGCTAGGATCAGGCTTTGTAGCACGTAATTTCAGAAAGGGGAACGACACAAAAAGGAGGAGGTGAGTGAAACAGAAATTAAAAGGTTCAGCACTAAAAGTAAAATCCCTGCAAGCTGCATGG